ATATATATATATATATATATATATATATATATATATATATATATTCTTTTCTGCTCTTCAGTGACATCCCATTATAAATTTGATATTACCCACAGTGACAATATTTACACTCGGGCAACTGGCAAGCATGTTGTGTGTCAGAGTTGTGTGTCTATGTATGTATGTATGCATGCATGTATGTACCTATATGTATGAATATGTGTGCGCATATGTATAGGTGGATATGAATGTCACCACATGTATGTAGAGGTCAGGGGACAACTTCTGGGGCTTAATTCTCTCTTTCCACCATGGGGGTCCAGGGGAATCAAACTCAGGTTGTCAAACTTGGCAGCAAGCACCTGCTGAGCCAATTCATCTCATTCCTCCTTTTTCTTTGGATATGAACTCAGGTCCTCAAGCTTGTGATGCAGCCCCACACCAGGGGCTCCTTTTTCTTTGAATTACATCTACTTATATGTCAGTTTGGCTGGGCCATGCATATGCCACAGTGCTATTATGTCTGCCAGAGGACGACTTAAAAGAGCCAGGTGTCTCCTTTTACCATGTGGGTCCTAGGGACTGAACTCAGGCTGTGAGGCTTAGTGGCAAGCACCCTTATCTCCTGAGCTATCTAATTAGGCTGCACACCAACACTTTGTCTCTCAGAGAATAGGTGGCTAAATACTAACCAGCACAGAGCTGGTATCTACTGCATCCCAGGTGTCCCCCAAACACTCGCAAATCTTCAGTACAGGATTCTACGCCAAGGACTTGGGATCCCCCACTTCTACTCTTCTTTCCCTCACATAACTCTGGCAAATTGTCTTAATTCCAGGCAATCAGGAGCCAGCTGCAAGGCCAGCCCAGGATGGCGTCCCACCAGATGTACCTGCTCTTCATCGCTTTTGATGATGACTAGCTGAGCCTCGACTTCCTGGCAAGCCTTGACAGCATTGTTCCAGTTCCGCTGGGACTTGGAGACGAAGTAACAGTTTCCCAGGAGGAACGTCCAGTCCCAGGGGCAGGGGCGACACAGGCGGGCTGTTGGGGGATGTGGATTAGGATGGACTCACACCTGGATGCCTGTGCTCCTGCTTGGCCTTCAAGCTCTCCAGAGCCAGGGCCCTCCCTTGACACAGCATCTTGGTGAACCATTTCCTTCCCACCTCCCATGACCCTTTGCAACTCCAGAAGTCCTAGGCCCACTTCCTCCAGACTGTAAGAAGGAGGGGTTTAGAACTCAGAACAGAGGCCAGAGATGGGCTCATGGCCTTTGTGAACACCGAATACTCAGTGTCCACTGTGCACAGCCCCTGTGAACACAAGTGCCTGCTTTGTAAATGGTGCCTGTGAACATTTAGTGCTCTCTGTTGGCATGACTCTTGTAAACACCAAGTGCTAATACGTAGGAGGGAACCCACAGGAAAGACTGCCTGAGGTCTCGAGGCCTCTGTTCACTCACAGAGTTCAGCCTTCATCTTCACCACTTGCTGGTAGATCTTCTCCTGCTTAGAGTCATTCTGTACCTGGAAGCTGGGGATCCTGGAAACTGGGCCAAGAAAAAAAGAGGGGGAGGGGGACTGCAGTTATTAAACAAGTACTGTATGCATTGACTTGAGCTGGGCTCCCAAGGCCATTATGCCATTTTTCTTTTGAGATGCACCTCACTCTGTGGCCAAAGCCTCTCAAATTCCTTGGCAGAAGGATGCATCATTCCTTAGTTTCAGCTTGGACTTGGGGCATGTGACACCTAACCCCCAGGAGTCTCGGCCCCACTTCCTCTCCTGGATGGTGAGTGATAGGGTATTAGAGCTCAGAACAGAGCCAGTAGACTGCCTTAACTGAGTGCCTGCTGTGTGCATGCCCCTGTGAACACTGAGTGCCTACTGTGTGGATGATACCTGTGAATATTGAAAGCCTACTCTGTGCATAACTCTGTGATCGTTGGCTGCCTACTGAGTATGCAAATTCAGTAAAGATGGAGTCCCTCCTGTGTTCATGGCACATGTGATGCCTAATGGGATTGGATCTGGAATGGACCAAGAGACACGGCTAGGGACAGGGGAGGTGAGGGTATTTCCAGGGAAGAGTCACAGGATAGGGAGGCCCTCCCAGCGCTGGCCCAGACATACAAAAGCCAAGGGAAAGGCAGGGCTGCTGCTGTTGGTCCATCTTCCCATCTATCCTGTTGTTGTCTCTGGTGTTTTGCAATTGTTGTTAACAGTCCCTTCAGCCTTTCCTTGTGACCTGAAAGTCTGCGTCTCTCCAGGAATCCTCCAGGTCCCCAGACTGGGACTCTGAGGCATCCAGACTTGTGGACTGAGTGGCTACCGGGTTCTCAACTTATTCATTATTCCTTCTATAAAGTGTGTTCTTCCAGAGAACCTGGCCAATGCAGGCTTTGTGAACATTGAGTGCCTACTGTGTATCTGGTCCCTATGAACACTAAGTGCCTACTGTGTGCCTGGCCCCTGTGAACATTGAGTACTTATTGTGTGTGTGTTTCCTAAAACATTGACTGCCTAGTATATGCACAAGGTTCCTGTGAACATAGAGTACCTACTGTGTGCATGATCCCTAAAACACTGAGTACCTACCATGTGCATGCCCCCGTGAACTTTGAGCACTACTGTATGCATAGTCCTTATGAACACTGAGTACCTAGTGTATATATGGTTGCTATCAACACTGAATACCTCCTGGGTGCTTGCCTCTGTAAACATCAAGTGCCAACCATCTGTGGCCTTGATTCACATGAGGAAATAAGAACTGAGGAATAAAAAGCTCTGATGGCTCAAGAAAATTGACCCCTATAGGCACCTGAGGCCTCAGAACCTGGTTTCTAGTCACTCACGGAGTTCAGTCTTCAGCTGTGTCACTCGTTCAGAGATCTCCTTTATGGACTCATTCCACCCCTGGGAGGTGGAGATCCTGGAGTCTGTGCCAAGAAAAATAAAGAACTGCCATTATCAAATACCTACTGTGTACCATGACCTGCACTGTGTCCCTGGGGATCTTTAGTTATGTTTTATGGAACCCACTGTGTCACAGATTGTCACAAACTCCCTGGCACAAATGAGCATTCCCTTCCCAGTTCCCAAGTGGCTAGGACTGCAGGCACAGGCCACTGCCTGAGCTTCTGGGATGGTTTCTGATTGATGTCTTGTTTAATCTCCTTTGAAGATGGAGAAACTAAACACCTAGAAGGATATCTAGTCCCAGGGAGAGGGTGGGTCAGGATGAACCCACACTTGGAAGCCCATGTCCTTTTTCTGCTCAACCTTCGAGTTCTCCAGAGTGAAGATCTTCCCTTGACACAGCACTCTGGGGAACTATTCCCTGTAAGGATTCAGGCATTATGCTGGCCTGCCCCTGTCACTTGTCAGAATGCACTCAGGCAGTACCCTGGTCAACCCAGGGTTCCATGACTACTAGTGTGGATGCAGGTGCAAAGGACCCCTTTAAAAGAAAGACCCCGTCCACTTATGCTCTCTTCCCACTCTTTCCTGCTGTTCCCCTGGGGCAGTCTCCCTCTTCTCTTCTGTCCTCTCTCCATCTCTGTCTCTTTACCTCTTTTCTCTTTCCTACCACCTCCCCTTTCTACTTCTCACTAAGCTCTGTCTGTCTGGCCTGTTTGTTCCTCTGACCCGGTCAACCTCGCCTGCCATGGAATCCGCCAAGTTTCCTCACAAGCTTAATCTAACATTCCCTCCTGTTTCCCAAATCCCTCCCAACCCCAGGAAAGCCCAGGAGTCCCTTTCCATCTCCTCTGACTAGAAAGAACAGACTTAGAGTTCAGGACGTTCAAACACCAAGAGATTGGCTTAGCTGAGTATCTATAGCACTTTGAACATTGACTTCACTTGAACATTAAGAATCTCTAAACATTAAGAGCCTGATGTATGCACGGCACTTGTGGGCACTGAGTGCCTAACCCGTGCACAACCTCTTTAACTCAAGGGCCCAGTGTGTGCATAGTCCCTGTAACCAGCACATATCATCCTTGTTGCTACTCTGTGGTCTCAGTCCACAGATGAGGAAACTGAGACTAAGAGAAGTCTGATGGCTCAAGAAAATTGACCGCCTACGGAGACCCAAGGCCTTGGGCCTCCAGTTTCTCACTCACGTAGTTCAGTCTTCAACTCTGTCAGCTGTGCAGAGATCTCCTGCATGGACTCATTCTGCCTCTGGAAGGTGGGGATCTTGGACACTGTGGCAAGAAAAAAAAACCCCTGCTATTATTAAATACCTACTGTACACCACAATCTACACTGGGAGCAGGGACATTGTGTCATTTTAAAAAGCGTGTGTGTGTGTGTGTGTGTGTGTGTGTGTGTGTGTGTTTCTGATTGATGTCTTGTTTAATCTGCTCTGCAGATGGGGAAACTGAACACCCAGAAGAGAGTCTGGTCCCAGGGAGGGGGCTGCTCAGGATGAACCCACACTCGGATGCCCATGCTCTTTGTTTAACCTTCAGGCCCTCCAGGGTGACAGAGCATCCTGGGGAACCATTCCTCTCTCCACATCCCCTCCCCCTCCCCAATCCCAGGAGTCCCATGTATTATCCTTCAGATTGAAAGAATTGGGGCTTAACAATCAGGGCAAAGACCGAGAGAATTGTTTAATTGACTATCCCTTGTGTCCGTGGCCCCTGTGAACATGTAGTGTCTGTTGTGTGCATGCCAAGTACATGCATGTCCTCTGGGGACACCGAATGCCTACTAGGTACATGGCCCTTGTGAACACTGAGTGCTTACTGTGTACACAGCCTCTGTGGACACTGAGTTCCTACTGTGTGCACAATCTTGGTAAGTACCAAGTATCACTTTTTATTGTTACCCTGTGGTCTCAATTCACAGAGGAGAAAACTGAAGCTCAAAGAGATCTGACAATTTAAGAAGTTGACCCCTTTCCCACGGAGCCATCCCAAGGCACCGGCACTTCTGGTTTTTGGTCACTCACAGAGTTTGTTAGTCATCTGGGTCAGTTCCTGGTAGATCTCTTCACATTTGGATTCTTCCTGTCCCTGGGTGTTTGGGGTCTTGGAAACTGTGAGGAAGGAAAAAAAAAGTTTCATTATTAAATACCTTCTGTGTGCCAAGTCCTGCACTGGATTCTCTGAGACATTGTCATATTTACTTACTTATTTATTTATTTTGAGATAGGAGTATAGACACATGTTACCCCAGAGTCTAGGACAGTTTCTCACTAACTCTTCCTTAATCCCATTAGAAGACTAGAAAACCTACCACTCAGAAAAGGCTGAGCCATAAGAAGAAATGGATCCAGGATAGAGGATCCACCCATGTCTCCCTTCTTTTTCTGTCCTACACCAGAGATGGGGGCACCCTTAGAGGACATGCCCTCCACTTGCACTCCCCATGTCCCTTCTAGACCTAAAGAAGGCCCTGGCCGAAGAGCTGGGTCAGAGGGCTGAGGCCTCCATTGTGCCTGACCTTGGACAAGAATGATCAGCAGGAGCCCAGCCAGGAACAGGAAGGAGAACAGCAGCAAGATCAAGGGGATTTGACCTCGTCCTAGGCGTCCTGCCAGAGAAAAAGTGGACTTTTAAGTATGATGATGTCCCTACCTTATGCTGATTCCAGAACAGGTGATCAGCATCCTTCTGCCACCAGCCGGTGAATCCAGACTCTCGGAGTCTACCGCCACATGATCCATTATGATTCCCTTCCCTTGCCTTCTCTTTCCACAGCAGGCCATCTCTCCCCTAGGCCCCTGCTCCAGCCTTTATCTTCCCAGGAAGCAGAAGTTTAGAGCCCTAGCCTTCTTTCTTTAAGACCCATTCTGAGGAATGCTCTCTGCTTTTCCTCAGCCCCTCTCCCTGCTTACCTGCCAAACTCTTGATTCCAGAATTTGGTTGTAGTCTGGAACTTTTACTAGAACACCTGATGTCACTGACCATCCACTCTTCATCATCTGAGGGAACACAGCGCCAGTCAGTCAGAGCCTGGGCAGGCTCAACCCCAAGCCACCCCCTCTGGTTTCCCTCACCAGGCTCCCACAATGCCAGCCTAGCCTCACCCACAGAACTCAGCTGCTGCATTCTGGATTCTGTGGAGTCACTCATCGTCACCGCTGTCCCCTGGTGCCAGGACTGCTGGAGACCACAGCTTTTATCCCCTGGTGTTCTCTAAGTGTCCTTTCATTCAGGAAGGGGAAAAAAGGAAGCCCATGAATTGCGGAAGAGCCTGAGGGAGGGACTGCACCTTTCACATGGCCTATCTTGTGCCAGATAACTAAAGGTTTAGATTTTTTTTTTTTTGGGAGGGGTTGGAAAGTTTGGGGTTTCGTAGCAGAAAAATCTGGTGTGTTCATGGTGTGGTCAAGTTATGGGTGCCTTTTCAAAGCCAATAGCTTATACAATAAATCCATTTTGTTATACCCTTTCCACCTATGCTGAGTGTAGAACGACACCCCATCTTCCAAGTTTCCTTCCAACTCCAGGCTTTCTTGCATAGCTGGCTCCAGATTCATGGCCACCTCGGCTGACTTTGCTGTCCTCATGCTCCTGTCAATTGAGTGCCTGTTGCTGTCAGTACATCTGACTGCTGGGTGGACTCATTCCTCAAACCTTCCCACACAGTGGGAGCTGAGAAGCTGCATAACCAGATTAGGTAACTGTCTAATAATAGTCACACAGCTGGTTCATGGTGAAGCTGGGATTTGAACAAGAGCAATCCACCTCTATGTTGTGAACCAAGGAGACTCCAACAGCCCCAAGAAGAAAAAACCAAGCTGGTGAGGTGGCTCCCTGGGTAAAGTGCTTGCTTTACAAGCTCGAAGATCAGATGGAGTCCCGATCAGCACTCTAGTAAAAAGCCACAAATGGCAGCGCACACCTGTAGCTCCAGTATTGTGAGGCGAGGAAACAGCATGAGAGTGGAGATCGTTGTTCACCAACCTAGGCAAATTGATAAGTTCCAGTTCCACTGAGAGACCCTATCTCAAAACATAAGATGGACGAGGGGTGGAAGTTGACACTGATATAAGCCTTATACCAACATGTATATGCAACACACACACACACACACACACACACACACACACACACTAGGTCTCTACACAAACACACTGTGATGATAAAGTGCGAGGGGGAACCTTGGCGTATTCCATGGCAGGCAAGGGTGACTGAGGTGTGCGACAAACATTGAAGGACCAAAAATTAACATTAATAAAAGTTTAAAAACTTAGGCCCTGAAAAGGGAATTTCTTTTCTTTTAATTTTTTTATTAGTCCAAATTAGGAACAAGCTTGCTTTACATGTCAATCCCTTCTCCCTCTTCTTCCTCTCCCCCCAGCCCTCCCCCAACTCCTCACCTGCCGTTTTTCAGGTCAGTTATGTAGACTATCATATTATCTGCAAATAGTGAGAGTTTGACTTCTTCTTTTCCGATTTGTATTCCCTTGATCTCCTTTTGTTGTCTTATTGCTCTCTAGTTAGAACTTTAAGGATGATATTGAAGAGGTATGGAGAGAGTAGACAGCCTTTCTTGTTCCTGATTTTAGAGGAATTGCATTGAGTTTCTCTCAATTTAATTTGATGTTGGCTGTCGGCTTGCTGTATATTGCTTTTATTATGTTGAGGTATGTTCCTGTTATCCCTGATTTCCCAAGACCTTTATCATGAAGGGGTGTTGGATTTTGTCAAAGGCTTTTTTGGCATCTAGTGAGATGATCATGTGGTTCCCCCCGCCAACAGTCTGTTTATATGGTGGATTACATTGATGGATTTTCGTATGTTGAACTATCCTTGCATTCCTGGGATAAAGCTTACTTGATCATGGTGGATGATTTCTCTGATGTGTTCTTGGATTCGTTTTGCCAGTATTTTATTGAGAATTTTTGCATCAATATCCATGTCCTCTCCCATGTGTACAGGCCAAGAGTACATCCCTTCACATGGGATGGGCTCTTAAAGTCCCTTCTTACAGCAGGGAAAATAAAATTCAAAGTTATTGAAGCCTCATAAAAAGAGTTTGTTAATGACCCTTCTGCTTCTATTGTGTTTCAGGAGTCTGGATCAGTCCTGTACTGACCTCCCAGACAGCAGCAGTCTGGTGTCCATATGCTCCCCCTTGTTCAGGCCAGCTGTTTCTGTGGGTTTCACCAGCCTGGTACCGACCCCTTTAATCTTAATTCCTCCCTCTGTTTCATTAGGGCTATAGTCTATTTAAGTTGCTTATCTGTTCTTGATTTAATTTTGGTAAGTGAAATCTGTCTAGAAAATTGTCCATTTTCTTTAGATTTTTGAATTTTGAGGAACATAAGTTTTCAAAGTATGACCTGATGATTCTCTGGATTTCCTCTGTATCAGTCTCATTATAGGGGAAGGGCATTTAAGTTGTCCTCTCCATCATTGCCTAGGTTGTCAGTTCGTTTTATCCTTGTAGATATCTGGAAATCTCGGTAGTGCAAGATCTCTCCTCAGAACTATAATGGCTCCTTCTGGTATGGTATCTCTCATCCTGCTCTCCTCTATTCTTCCCCCAACTCAACATTTCTGCTCCTCCATTTCCTCCTATCACCTCCTCTTCTCCTCTCGTTCTGGCAGCTCCCTGTCCCCTACCCTCATGCTCCCAATTATCAGGAGTTCCTGCCCCTTCCCATTCTCTGGGGTCCATGCATTTTTCCCTTAGAGACTTTCTTGTTTCCTAGTTTTGAAAAGGGAACTTCTAATGACTGGGAATGCAGTGGCTGGAGCCTGAGCCCCAGTCTCAGAGAAGGGGAGGTGTCTGTTCACCAACATTCCTTTGTTAATTGCTGGTCATAAAGGTCCTCTGCTGGTTGTAAAGATCCCCCAGACCAGGGGATAGCTGACTGACCCTGTGACCCTGTAACCCCTCAACCCCATGCCCTGCCTTATCTACTCAAATGTATCTTGCTTAAAAATATATAGTTACTGCTTTACTCTGTAGTTTGTGTGACTTTAAGTAACCATGAAAACTCTGAAATTTGTGGCCTTCAACCTTATGGTCTTCCTCTTTAAAAGCTTCTTTTTATGGCTGGTTGGCATCTCATTTCCCTGCCATGGAGTGAGAGCCAAGCTGGCCAGCGTGAACAGTAAAAAGAAACCTTTGCTTTTGCATTGGAGGTATTGGCTCCTTGGGTTGGCCTGCAACTCCTCGAACCTGAAACAACAACGTGCCAGGCAGACAGAGCTTAGTGAGAAGTTTCATTAGAAAGACTAAAGAAGTAAAGAGACACAGAGACAGAGAGAGGACAGAAGAGAAGAGGGAGACAGGAAAAGTCCTATCTGCTCTAGGGGAACAGTATGAAAGAAAGAGAGAAGGAAAGAGGTCATAAGTGGGTAGGGTGACCATGGAAACCTGGGCTGATCAGGGTACTGAGTGCATTCTGCCAGGTGACAGGGGCAGGCCAGCATAATGCCTGAGTCCTTACACACAACACACACTATATAACCATAGCTAAAAAGGACACATGGAACATAAAAGAAGAAAGAGACTAACGAATCTTCCTGTTGATAGATCTGGGTCTAGTTGATTCTAACAGGTACTTTTCCTGATATGCCAATAGGTACTATTTTGCCTCTATGACAGGGACTTGCCTTTGGATCTGACATTCTAGTCTGTCGGTAAGGTAAAACTGCCTACCTTTTCCCTATAGGAGACCTAGCAGTTCTAGAAGAAGCATGGTGTGATTCCGTAATAAGTGCCAGGAGCTGAGAGTCTCTCTCTGTCATAGTAAGCTTTTTTTCCATTAAACATTTTAAATACCATATTCATAAGATCTCTGACAAGTTTGAGGACCATTATATATTAAGTATATCTGAGCTAAACAAACCTAAGCTTAAACTTGAGAGCATATATAACATGACTACAAGTTTGGTTATTATAGATGACTATTAACCTGTGTTTCTCAATTATGTATTACATTTTAAAATGAGCTGCATAGGTACAACACCTTAAATAAGAGTAGAAACACACATATATGTATATGTTATGTAATATATATAGTATAAAAATATAACTTTAAATTTATATCATTATTTAAAAATCCATATCAATGTAAAATATTTTAGACTAATAGTTGTTTTTTAAAGTAGATTTAATAACCTACCTTTTTACCTTATCATTTTTATTTTAAAGTAGATTCAATTATCCAGCTTTTCTTATAACCCCTCCATTTTTTTTTTTTTTGGAAAAAGATCCCTGAATCTAACCTTGTTTAGTTTCCTCCCTGACCACGACCAATAACAACTTGCAACCAACTGCTTAAACAACGATAAACATCCATCAATGACAAAAAACCATCCATCCCACCTCTTGGGAATGTGGGTATCATGTTCTCTAGACTGCTTCCTATTGTCTGGGGGTGATGGCATCTCCGGGAAACCCTGAAAAAAATGAGACAATGGTCAAATCCTAGGAAAACTATTTGTAACATTTGTTGTCCAGTCTCAGAACAGTTCCCATGCAGAGGGATCTGTATATACATCACTTGTCTTGTAGTTTTCCTTGGTTTATTTCTTTTTGGGGGGGAGGGGTTTGAGACAGGGTTTCTCTGTATAGCTTTGTAGACCAGGTTGGCCTCAAGAGATCCACCTGTCTCTGCCTTCTGAGTGCTGGGATTAAAGACATGCGCCACCAATGCCCAGTCTTGGTTTATTTCTTTATGTCTGCAGTTGTGATTTTCCAGAAGATCCCCCATCAAACCCCATCTCTATTAGTCATGAAGAAATCCACAGGCTTTTGTTTCCTGCACAGTAAAAGCATAACCTCTTCCCCAATGCAATACATTTTCCAACTTCTGTTCTGAAGCCAAGACATATTGTAGCAGTTCCTTTTATAATCCAATATCTCTCAGTAGCTGTCATTTGCTCATCAGCATTTAAAAAATTCAAAGTCAGTAAATCAACATATAGGATCCAGATGCCCGGTGTACATCCAATTCTTACATGGCTTATTTTTATATCATTCTATTCTTTCTTTAAAGAGTTTAGTCAGATTTTTCTTAATTATATTTAATAGTTTAGAATAATTTAGTAGCTTTCATAAGACTAGAATAGGGCTTGTGAGTAAGAACTGAGGGAGCCTAGAGGCTAGCATT